TCCAGAACAGACCACATATTAGGCCATAAAGCAAGCCATAACAAAATCCAAAGCATCAGAATATTACAAAGCCTCTTTTCTGACCATAAAGCCATAAACATTGAAATCAATAACAGAAAAAGCAAGGAAAAAAATCAAACACATGGAAATTGAACACCTTGCTCAAAAACTACTGGGTTATAGAAGAAATTAAGGATGGAATAATGAAATTCACAGAATCAAATGAGAATGAAAACACATCCTACTAGAACCTTTGGGACACAGCAAAAGCAGTGCTCAGAGGGAAATTTATAGCAATAAATGCACACATCCAAAAAGGAGAAAGGGCCAAAATCAAAACATTAACCCTAAACTCAAACAAATAGAAAGAGAACAGTAAAAGAAGCCCTTGGGCACCAGAAGAAAGCAAATAATAAAAATCAGAGCAGAATTAAATGAAATAGAAAACAGAAAAACAATTGAAAGAGTTAACAAGACCAAAAGCTAATTCCTTAAAAATATCAACAAAATCGATAACTCATTGGCCAAACTGACGAAAGAAAAACAGGCGAGGAAGCAGATAACCTGAATAAGAATGAGATCAGCAATATCACAGCAGACCCAACTGAAATTAAAAGAATCATAACAGAATACTATGAAAAAATTGTATTCTAACAAATTTGAAAACCTAGAGGAAATGGACAAGTTTCTAGAAACACACTACCTACCTAAACTAACACACACAGAGGTAGAACAACTAAACAAACCTATACAAAAGAAGAGATTGAAAAGATAATTAAAAAAGTCCCCCCCCCCCAAAAAAAAGCCTTAGCCCGGATGGATTCACTGGAGAATTCTACCAAAATTTCAGAGAAGAGTTAACACCACTACTACTAAACATATTTCAGAGCATAAAAAAAGGATAGAATACTCCCAAAAAAATTCTATGAAGCCAGCAAAACCCTGATTCCAAAACCAGGTAAAGATACCACAAAAAACAAAATTTACAGACCAGTATCCCTCATGAACATTGACGCAAAAATCCTCAACACAATTCTAGCCAACAGAATTCAACAACATAACAAAAAAAAATAATTCACCATGACCAAGTGGGATTCATACCAGGTATGCAGGGATGGTTCAACATTAGAAAAACAATCAGTGTAATCCATCACATAAATAAAAGACAAGAACCACATGATCTTACCAATTGATGCAGAATAGGCACTTGACAAAGTCCAACACCATTCATGATAAAAACTGTCAGCAAAATATGAATAGAAGGGAAATTTCTCAACATAATAAAGGGCATTTATACAAAGCCAATAGCCAACATCATCCTAAATGGAGAGAGTCTGAAAGCATTCCTCCTGAGAACGGGAACCAGACAAGGATGCCGTTTATCACCACTCTTATTCAACATTGTGCTGGAGGTCCCAGCCAGAGCAATTAGGCTAGAAAAAGAAATAACGGGCATCCAAATTGGAAAAGAAGAAGTAAAAGTATCTCTACTTGCAGATGATATGATCTTATACACAAAAAACCCCAAAAGAATCCACAAGGAAACTACTGGAACTAATAGAAGATTTCAGCAAAGTATCAGGATACAAGCTAAACATAAAAAAATCGTTGGATTTCTCTACACCAACAAAGAGAACTTTGAAGAGGAAATCACCAAATCAGTACCGTTTACAATAGCCTCCAAGAAGATAAAATACTTAGGAATAAATCTACACAGAGACGTAAAAAACCTATACAATGAAAACTACAAGGCATTACTGCAAGAAACCAAAAGAGACCTGCGTAAGTGGAAAAACATACCTTGCTCATGGATAGGAAGATGCAACATTGTGAAAATGTCTATTCTACCCAAAGCGATCTACAGATACAATGCAATTCCGATCCAAATTCCAATGGCATTTTTTAATGAGATGGAGAAACAAACAACCAACTTCACATGGAAAGGGAAGAGGCCCCGGATAAGTAAAGTATTACTGAAGAAGAAGAACAAAGTGGGAGGCCTCACACTACCTGATTTTAGAACCTATTATACCACCACCATAGTTGAAACAGCCTGGCACTGGTACAACAACAGATACATAGACCAATGGAATAGAATTGAGAATCCAGACATAAATTCATCCACCTATGAGCAGCTGGTATTTGACAAAGGCCCAAAGTCTGTTAATTGGGGAAAAGGCAGTCTCTTTAACAAACAGTGCTGGCAAAACTGGATATCCACCTGCAAAAAACTGAAACAAGACCCATACCTCACACCATGCACAAAAACTAACTCAAAATGGATCAAAGACCTAAATATAAAATCTAAAACGATTAAGATCATGGAAGAAAAAATAGGGACAACGCTAGGAGCATAAACATGGCATAAACAGAATACACAGAATACAAACCATAAGTAACAATGCACAAACACCAGAAGAGAAACTAGATAACTGGGAGCTCCTAAAAATCAAACACTTATGCTTATCAAAAGACTTCACCAAAAGAGTAAAAAGACAACCTACAGACTGGCAAAAAATTTTTGGCTACGACATATCTGATCAGCGTCTAATCTCTAAAATCTACAAGACACTGAAAACTTCAATAACAAAAAGACAACCCAATTAAAAAATGGGCAAAGGGTATGAACTGGCACTTCACCAAAGAATACATTCAGGAGGCTACCAGATACAACAGGAAATGCTCATGATCATTAGCCACTGGAGAAATGCAAATCAAAACTACAATGAGATACCATCTCATCCCAACAAGGCTAGCATTAATCCAAAAACATAAAATAATAAATGTTGGAGAGGTTGTGGAGAGACTGAAACACTTATAGACTGCTGGTGGGAATGTAAAATGGTACAGCCACTTTGGAAATCAATTTGGCACTTCCTTAAAAAGCTACAAATAGAAGTACCATATGATTCAGCAATCCCGCTCCTAGGAATATATCCTAGAGAAGTAAGAGCTGTTACACGAGTAAATATATGCACACCCATGTTCACTGCAGTACTGTTCACAATAGTAAAAAGATGGAAACAACCTAAGTGCCCACCAATGGACCAATGGAAAAACAAATTATGGTATATTCACACAATGGAATACTAGGCAATAATAAAGAACAAAGATGAATCTGCGAAACATCTCATAACATAGATGAATCTGGAAGGCATTATGCTGAGTGAAATTAGTCATTTGCAAAAGGACAAATATTGTAAGAGACCACTACTATAAGAACTCAAGAAATGTCTTAGACACAAGAAAACATTCTTTGATGGTTACAAGGGTGGGGAGGGAGGAAAAGGGGTATTCATTAACTAGATAGTAGATAAGAATTATCTTAGGTGAAGGGAAGGACAACACAGAATACAGGGGAAGTGAGCACAAGTGGACTAAACCAAAAGCTAAGAAGCTTCCTGAAAACAACAAAACACTTCGAGGGACCGGGTAGCAGGGACAGGGCTCTGGGGTCCATGGTTTCAGAGGACATCTAGGTCAATTGGCATAACAAAGTTTAATAAGAAATGTTCTGCATACCACTTTGGTGAGTGGCGTCTGGGGTCTTAAAAGGTAGCAAGCGGCCCTCCAAGATACATGAATTTGTCCCAACCCACCTGGAGCAAAGGAGAATGAAGAACACCGAAGACACAAGGAAAGTATTAGCCCAAGAGACAGAAAGGGCCACATAAAGCAGAGACTCCTTCAGCCTGAGACCAAAGAACTAGATGGTGCCCAGCTACCACCAGTGACTTCCCTGACAGGGAACACAACAGAGAGTCCCTGATGGAGCAGGAGAAAAGTGGGATGCAGAACTGAAATTCTAGTAAAAACCAATAATGGTTTGACTGAGACTAGAGGGTCCCCAGAAGACATGGCCCCCAGACTCTCTGTCAGCCCCGAACTGAAACCATTCCCGAAGCTAACTTTTCAAACAAAGATTAGACTGGACTATGGGACGATACTCATAAAGAGAGTGCTTCTTAGCTCAAGTAGATACATGAGACTAAATGGGCAGCTCCTGTCCGCAGTCAACATAAGGCAGAGAGGGTCAGGAGCTGGTTGAATGGTCACAGGAAATCCCGGGTGGAAAGGAGTGTGCTCTCATATTACGGGGAGAACTTCTAGGGTCACATAGCAATGTGTGTATAAATTTTTGTATGAGCAACTGACTTGAGCTGTGAACTTTCACTTACAATAAAAAAAGGAAGAAAAATACTAGGTGTTTCAAGAAACCTAGGCCAGAGTGGTAAACAAGAACCAGTCTGAACCAGATCTGACCCGCAGACCATGTGTACCCCTGACATGTGAGGTAAGACCGTTGGGCACGCACTCTCTGTCCCTAATTACCTATGTATGAGATTTCCCCGAAGATTGGTGAATATGTGTGACTTCCTAGATTAAAATCTCAATAAAGGCTGTAGCCTAGCACCTGCTCAGGGAACCATCTTCTAGGCAAGTCCCCTGGCTCCTTGCATTGCTGGTCTGCAATAAACTACTTTCTCTTTCCTCAAAACTCCGTGTGCCTTGTCTCTCGGCTTTACAGTGCACTGGGCCAGGACCCACTTTGTCCGGCAACATTCTCAACCAAGTCGGATCCGGGTTTCCACAGTCTCTCAATGGAAGGAAACTGGGAATTTTCCGCTCCTGTCTAAAAAGAGAAGCCACCACCCCGCCTCTCGCGTCCCTGCCTCACTTCACCCTAATCCCGGAGCACCTGAGGCCCTGCCCCTTACGCTGATCGCTGTGCGGGGACCGGAAGCGGAAGTGTCAGTGCGCGAGACCTAAAGCTTCGGCTGGCGTTTGAGGTAGGTTTTCGCCTTGGTCCGCCTCAGGTGGCGCCCGGAAGAAGAGAGGAGAGCTGCCCTTCGCTCGGTGCTCCTGCCCGGCCGCTCTGGCTTTCAGCGTCTGCTTCGGAGCCGCGGCGCCTCTTCCCACCCGTCTCGCGCTCCGGGTCTTCCGCGGCAGCCAGCGCGTCTCCGCCGAGTTTCCGAGCCAGCCCCCGTCGCGCCCCCCGAGGCTGGGCTCAGGGTATCGTCTCAGGGAGGAGTCGGGTGGGGAAATGGGACAGGCGAGTTTGCGGGGTACTTTTTTCCCCGCTGTAAGTCCTTTTTCAAGAACATTTCAAGCACCTTTCTGGCCTTTCTCCTGAAGGAATAGCCTCTCCGCCGTCACCCATGGCCCCAGCGTCCTCTTCTCAACCGACCTGGCGGTTAAGGCGGATCCGGTGAGTACTGGGCGGAGTTAATCTGGTTGTGGGCTTCGCTTATTGAAGTTTGATAAATTATTCTGGTGTTAAAATGCTTTCGTGTGTTTGTAGGATTTGTTGATTTTTAAAAATAAAACCACATGTTGCCACACGCTTTTTTACTAAAGCAAAGGAGCATTACTCAGCTGTTTTCGAGGCAAACAGCAGCTGAATTTACCCTAAGAAGTTCAAAGTGGAAAGATGTTCAAGAAGAAAGGGTGCAGACTTCATTGTGCTACTAACAGGAATTAGAATTGTATTGACTGTAAAGGAGATGTGCTTAGACCAGGTGCCCCCCCCCACATTTTTAGTTTCAGAATTTCTAAAATAAAGAAAATTTGAAAGTCCAGTAGAATAAACACCCACATACGCTTGTTGTAGATTGACCATTTGTTAATATTTTTCATATTTGCTGTATCTTTATATATCTCCGTTTGTATAGAGATACATTTGTGATAAACAGAATAAAACCCAGGCCCATTGCCATCAAGTGGATTCTGACTCATGGTGACCCATGTGTTAAACAGAGTAGAACTGCTCCATAGGGTTTTCTTGGCTGTGATCTTGACGGAAGCACATCACCAGGACTTTCTTAATGTGGCGCCGGTGCGTGAGTTCGAATCACTAGCCTTTAGATTAGTCATTCGCAAATTTTACACCTAGGGAAACTAAACTGAGAATAAAAAACAAATCCGTTCCTTTCAAGTCTGTTTTGACTCATGGTGATCCCATGTATTACAGAGTAGAACTGCCCATATGGATTTCTTGGCTATAATCTTTATGGATGCAGATTTTCTGGCTTTTTTTTTTCCTATGGTGCCTCTGAGTGGGTTTGAACTGCCAAGCTTTTGGGAGTACAAATTGTGCCACCCTGGGAGGTTTAAATAAGTTGCAGACCTGATATTCGACCTTCAGTACTTGATTAATTGCCTCCCATGTAACAGCAGAGGAGTTATGAAATAACTCCTGAAGATTAATACCAAAAACGAAAATCCCATACGAAAATGAGCAAGAGGTTTGGATAGGCTCTTTCATAAAGTGTTCAAATGGACAAGTATATGAAAAGGTGCTCAATATCATCAGTAACCAGATAAATGCAAATTAAAACCACAAAGTGATAGCAACACACACACGTGTCACAAGAGTGACAGTACCAGGCGTTGATTAGGTTGTGCATACACTGCTAGTGGAGGAGAAAATTGGAAATACATTTTGAGTATCAACTGAATTTGAACTATTGAGAATACAACAGTAATGCATGCATGTATGCACCAAGATTAATGTAAAGACATAGTAGCATTATTTGAAATATCCCTGTTATGAATTGAATTGTGTCCCCCAAAAATATGTGTATCAATTTGGCTATGCCATGATTCCAGTATTGTATGATTTTCCTATGTGTTGTAAATCCTGTCACTACGATGTTAATGAGATGGATTAGTGGCAGTTATGTTGATGAGATCTACAAGATTGGATTGTGTCTTAAGTCAGTCTCTTTTGAGATATAAAAAAGAGAAGCAAGCAGAGAGACATGGTGACCTTGTACTACCAGGAAAGCAGCGTTGGGAGCAGAGCACGTCCTTTGGACCCGGGGTTCCTACACGGAGAAGCTCCTTGACCAGAGGAAGATTAAGGGTAAGGATCTTCCTCCAGAGCCAGTAGAGAAAGCCTTTTCCTGGAGCTGACGCCCTGAACTTGAACTTGGACTTGTAGCCTACTAGACTGTGAGAGAATAAACTTCTGTTTGTTAAAGCCATCCATTTGTGGTATTTCTGTTACAGCAGCACTAGATCACTAAGACAAGCCCTAAATTGAAAACAAATGTAGATCAACGGAAGATGGATAAATTGTGGCATATATTTTCTGTGGAATACTCTTCAGCAAAGAGAAGGATGAAACCATAGTAGGTAGATACAATAACTTGGATGAATCTTACAAACATGATGTTAATGAAAGAAGCCAGACACAAAGATGCATCTTGTTTGAAACCATTGATTTAAACTTCAAAAATAGGCACAATCAGTCTAGAATGTTAAGTGTCAGAATAGTGGTTGCCATTGGGAGGTGTGGAGTTAGTGACTTGGAGAAGGAATGAGGAGTGTGACTGAGATACTGGAAATATTCTATTTCTTGACGTGAATAGTGGTTACATGGGGATGTTCATTTTGTGATAATTCACTGAGATTTTTATTCATGAATGCCTTCAATTAGTTATATGTATAGTGTACTTCAATAAAAGAAGTTCAAGAAATGGAACTAAGCTTTCTACTTCATAAGGTTGGACAAGAAATACAAAAGGAGAATAAAATGTACTGAAAGAATGAATGAAAATAAAACTGGTACTAGAAAAAAGTAAAACTGATGATATGAAACAGTGAATTATGGTCTCTGAGAAGACTCATGACAAAAGCCTTGAGCAAAGTCTGATTTGGCACTGCTCCCCCTGCATGTTTTTCTCCACTGCTAGCTACAACGTGTAGAGGGCCACATCTCTTATTTAAGTATTCCAAGTTGGGACCCTGCTGAAGTGGCCAGCGTTTGAAATGTATGTTGAGTTTTCCCTAAAATTATATTCAAATTGTAATGTTTTTGGATCAAAAGTGTGCATAAGGTGTTAATTTCTGGAGTCCTTTAAAATGGTTATTTCCGTGTCTTACTGTTATCATACCTCAAACCAGTCTTGTGTCTGTAACATGAATGTGTTTGTGTATGTGTGTATATATTCATTATACTTTTATGGGATTGATTATTTTTTAACTGTACTGCTGTGGTGAAATGAGTTCCTTTATGTGACCTTTTACCTTCGTTCTTTGGAAAAACAGCTTGAGAGATTTTTCCCCTAGGGCCTGAGGAGTTACGTTTGCCCTAGTTTTCTAGGCCAGAGGGTTTGTTACTCTTGTCCAGGTTGATTGACATTTCCTGGGCAAGCTGTAAACAACTTGGTTTGATACTTTTTGTCTGGTCCTGGGCTGCAGGCTGTCCTGTGAATGGTATGCACCTTGCAGGGATTGGTTGGTAGACTATGCAGATGAAGTATGTTGTAGCCTACTGTGCAAATGAAGTGTCTGTGGCCTGTTGAGAGGGGATTGGTAAGTTCGTGGCCCTGGTGGGAGTGTCATGCCTTGAAATTGACAAGGCATGAGATTTTTATTCATGGCTGTCTCCAATTATATGTATGGTGTACTTCAATAAAAGAAGTTCACGAAATGGAACTAAGCTTTCTATTTCATAAAGTTGGATAAGAAATACAAAAAAAGAATAAAATGTACTGAAAATAAAAATAAAACCAGTACTTACTGGAAAAAAGTAAAACTGATGAGTTATATGAAACAGTGAAAAATAGTTTGTGTATTTAAGTAGTCAGCCCCACAGAGGTTTTTCAGACAGAAGGAAGCAAGAAGAGAAACAACAGGAAGGAGAAAGAAGCAGAGAGAGAGAGTAGGCAAGGAATCTCCTGAAATAGCTATAACATGCGTTAAGGTCTGTAACACTGACGACAGAGACAGGCCCTGAAGGGGCCCAGCAGCAGAGCCAGCTGTGACAGACAGCAGAGCCAAGAGGAACCTTCCTGAGGAGGCAAGGGAGAGAGAGAGGGAGGAGGAGAGAGAGACAGAGAGACAGACCTGCACAGCCAATGGGAGCTGAGAGAGCTGTCCTACACTGAAGAAGGGAGACTTTGCCCACGTGCTTCCTAATCCTGGTCCTGAGTTGTAGCCTGTTGATCCTGATCCTGAGTTGTACCTTGTTACTTCCTTAATAAACCACTTAACTGTAAGTACAGTTTGTAAGTTCTGTGAGATGTTGCAGCGAATTGCCAAACTCAAGGTGGGGGGGGGTGCTGAGGGTAGGGAGAGTGGCCACTGTCGATGGAGTGGTACAGCAGCTTGAAGAATGGAAATCTGGGATATATTTGATCTCTGCTTCATGCAAATTGACTTTTTGTTGATTCTTACATTTGAAGTTATTTGTAAAACTACTCATCACCAACTGATATTTATTCTAATGCTCCATTGAAATGTGAGATCTCTAAAAGCTGGGACATTCTCTGTGTAGGTTACTGTTCCCTCTATATGACAAGTACCTGTCTTGACACAGGGAAGGCCCTTAATAAGTATTTGCCGAATGAATGAAGGAATAGGGCACAGTTAAGTGACAAAAGGGAGGCAAAGCCTCCAAACCCATTGAAGTTCCTGGAGCAGGCAGCCGGGGAAGTCTGAATTGGATAAAACTTCTTGTTTTTCTTCTCTCCATTATGCCTAGCAGTGGTCTGGACTGAATTCTGTTCATGTTTGAACAATCACTGCAAGAGATAAGCCTTTGACAGACCGTCCTGTTATTATTCCTGACTCATCACTTCCTAATTGGGTGGCTTTGGGCCAGTTACTAATCCAGTCTGAACCTCAGTTTTCTCAGCTATTGAGTGACAATGTTAATATCCAATTTGGAAGGTTATTAGGACAACTAAAGGGGATTTATGTATAGAAGAAACCCAGGTGATATAGTTAAGAGTTGGTATAATTACAGAAATTAAAGTACACAGAGGTGGTGCTGTATTTGACAGATATGGTAAAACTTATGAACATTTTGTTCTCCTCCACACACATTCTCCTTGCATCCCAAATCCCAGGAACCTGACTCATAAACACTCTGACCCATTACAGTAGCTTAGGTGGCCCACAGCAGGACTGCTCAGCCCCTGAGCAATGGATCTGCCATTAGTGAAGGAACTACACAGACTATCAGAAAAAAAGCGTCAACAGGGCTAGTAACCAGAGTCGGCAGTTTGAATCCACCAGGTGCTCCTTGGAAACCCCATGGGGCAGTTCTGCCCTGCCCTTATGGTGTCTATGAGTTGGAATCCACTCGATGGCAACGGGTTTTTGGTTTTACATATGTAGGACTCCTAACAGGTGCTTAGTAAATGATAGTTGTTGATTAAATGACAGTTATTGATATTTGCATGGTGTGATATTCAACAGTTTTTAATGGTTGTCATGTTTTATTTATACAGAGAGATGACAAATGTATGATGTTTGATGAGTGAGAAGAAAGATTTGTCGCTTAATGATTGATGTTGTGAACCAGTTCCCCAGACACCAGTGTACTAAGAGAAATCAGGATCAACCTATGAACTTAAATTTACCATCTTCTCTGAAGTGACCTTCTGAGTAAGAAGTAGAAGATTGAGGAAAATTTCACCACCAGTTTTACAGGATGGCAGCCATTGATCTGACTCGTGTGTGTGGTAAGTCCTTGTTGATGCTTTTGTTTCAGATAATCTGTTGTCTTTCCTTTACTAACGGCAGATCCATTGCTCAGGGGCTGAGCAGTCTTGCTGTGGGCCATCTAAGCTGCTGTAATGGGTCAGAGTGTTTATGAGTCAGGTTCCTGGGATTTGGGATGCAAGGAGAGTGTGTGTGGAGGAGGACAAAATGTTCACGAGTTCTACCATATCTGTCAAATACAGCACTATCTCTCTGTACTTTAATTTCTGTAATTACACCATTTCTGTAACGGTAACTTCTTCATCATAGCTAGCAAAATCCAGAGAACGCTATTCTGACTTCACATAAACAAGAGGTGCTTTGGTTTATTATGGAAGTAATGTGTTTATGTTATACGCATGGTGTGGAACAGCTTTTAGGCATGTGATTGTTGGTATTGTGGAATGGGCTTGGAATTTTATGTTATCATTCTTATCCTAAGGTCTTCTTTCTTGGGACCCTTTCTGTCTTCATGAGAGGAAAACAGAGGAGGCAAGGATGGTGACTGGGTCACTAACAGATTCTTATCAGGCAAGTGGAAAGTTGACTTTTCTGCACAGTGTCATACTTGTTTCTGTCACGTAGCCATGTTCTCTTGTAATGTCCCCAGGCTTCTAAAAGCAAATATCACCCTTCTTAGGGAATGAGTCACCTGTTGAAATTTCCCAGAAAACCTGTGTTATCTCAGGTTGTACAGTTTACACTCGAAATGATCATATTATTGCAGTATTTACTAATTCTTTTTGATACTCAGTTATGCTTGGCTCATTTTGTCGATTGTTTTGAGAGCTCATAAGGAGGTGAGGGTACCTAATCTCAAATTTTTATGTGACTGTTGAAATAATTCATCTGTCATCAGCTTTTACAGAGTGCTACGGTGTGCTTAGGGCTAACTGCAGCCCATAAATAGAGGAGGAATCAGATGAGAAAAGCACACAGTAAAGTTGTGGTAAGATAAGTTCAGTCACATGTCAGTGATGCTGGCAAAACCATGTGACTGCATGAGATCACCAGGCAGTGTGGGTAGTTAGGAGAAGAGGTCTGAGGATTCAGCCCAGGAATGCTGTCTAGGATCAGGTCTTCTTTCCTCACTCTGTCATTCATCTTCCTGAGAACATTGAAGAAAATGGTACTTAGCTGAAGCCTGTATGTGTGTGATGATTTAGGACTTGGTGACCTTTGAAGATGTGGCTGTGGACTTTACCAAAGAGGAGTGGACTTTGCTGGATGAAATGCAGAGAGATCTCTACAGAGATGTGATGCTGGAGAACTACAGGAACCTGGTTGCAGTAGGTAAGGCTGGCATTTTTTCCACTAAGTCTTTTATGTAATGAGTATTTCTTACTTAACTGTCCTGTCAAATGGGAATCCAGTGGTAAACAAGACAGACATGGTCTCTGATCTCACTGGCCTTACAATCTAGTGGCTTCCACATGAAAATGAAGATCAGTCTAAGTAAATAACTTTCTGCCCTTTATGGGCTAAAAACCTTGAGGCATTTTCAATGTGTATGAGGTTGAGCATGGGTTTCAGAGCTTAGAAATCTCTAATCATTTTAGGGTAGAGAAAATGTGCTTGAAATTTTGCTAATTTTAAAATAGTTTTACTTTTATAGAAATTTTGCATGACTGTTTTGCTGTTCTTAAAGTTAGACTTGACAGACTTTAGAATCTCTAATAGTAAAAGGAAATGTTTGTCATATATAGCACAGTCCTCTTCCTTCATGTGTCTTTTCCTTGAGCAGGGTACAGATTATGCAAACCTAATCTGATCTCTCGATTGGAACAAGGAGAAGAACTGAGGACCAGGGAGAGAGGAGTTCTGCAGAGTGAGTTCACAAGCAGCTATGGTATTATAAAGAGCAGCCCTTGTGTGGGAGAGGATAGTACGTTTAGAAATGTTACTGAGATGTTCTCAGTAAGATGTACTCATTTCTGAGAAGGCTGAGGCCATTTGTATTCTGAAGTTCTTCAGGTAGTTTCACCTTTCCTTCATTTTTCAGTTTCTATTCATCTTTTCAGCCTTTTATTGATGTCTCGGAAAGATTTGTCCAGTTTACTTGAAAATTTTATTAATTTGCATGTAGCTGTTTTCCCAGTACCTTCCTGTCTTGTTTTCTTGATTCAGTCTTCTTTTTGTGTACTGTCAGTCTCAATTTTCCGGAATATCATTTCTTGGTAAATACGACTTTTTTTTTTAGTGTTAAAATATATGTAACAGAATTTTAAAATTTCAACAGTTTTTAAGTGTATACTTCAGTAACGTTAATTACACTCACCACGTTATTCCCTACATTGGTTTTTGTTAGCTGCTGTCGAGTTGGTCCCAGAATCAGGGCGCTGCATGGTTTCAGAGTAAGAACTGCTCCATAGGATTTTGTTGGGTTGCTATGAGTCAGAATCTACCTAATGCCAACGGGTTAATCTTTACTGAAGCAATTTGTGAGGCCTTTCATCCACAGAGCTGCTGGGTGTGTTCAAACCACCAGCCTTTGAGTTAGCAGCTGATCTCAAACTGCTTGTGCCACCTGGACTCCTCACTACATTTACCATTATCCATTTCCAAAGGTTTTACATTTCCCCAAACAGAAACTCAGTACCCGTTCAGCAATAACTTCCATTGCCTCCTCCTCACCAACTCTTAACAAAACTTTTGTCTCTATGGATTTGTTTATTCTAGATATTTCATGTAAGTGGATTACATAATATTTGTCCTTCGTGTCTGATTTGTTTCACTCAGCATGTTTTCAAGGTTCATCTGTATTGTAGTGTAAATCATAGTTTCATTTCTGTTTATGACTGAATAATATCCCATTGTGTATATATTTGTTGTATTTTGTTTATCCATTTGTTGATGGACACTTGAGTTTCCACCTTTTGGCTATTGTGAATAATGCTGCAGTGAACATTAGTATACAAGTATCTGTTCAGGTCCCTGTTTTCAAGTCTTTCGTGTACCTAGGAGTGGAATTGCTGGGTCATACGTAATTCTATTAACCTTTTGAGGAACCGCTGAACTGTTTTTCATGGTGTGTGAACCATTTTACTGTTCCATCAGCAATTCAAGAGGGTTTCAATATCTCCACATTCTCACCAACACGTATTTTCCATTTTCCTGAAAATAGCCATTCTAGTGGGCGTGAGGTGGTATCTCATTGTGGTTTTAATTTTTGTTTACCTAATGACTAATGCTGCTATGCGTCTGTCAGTTTGTAGTACTGTGGGGGTTTTCATGTTGCTGTGATGCTGGAACTATGCCACTGGTATTCAAATACCAGCAGGGTCACCCATGGCGAACAGGTTTCTGCTGAGCTTCCAGACTAAGATTAGGAAGAAGAATCCAGCAGTCTACTTCTGAAAAGAATTAGCCAGTGAAAACCTTATGAATAGCAGCAGAACATTGTCTAATAATAGTGCCGGAAGATGATCCCCCCAGCTTAGAAGGCACTCAGAAGACGACTGGGGAAGAGCCACCTCCTCAAAGTAGAGTCAACCTTAATGGCGTGGATGGAGTCAAGCTTTCGGAACCTTCATTTGCTGATGTGGCACAACTCAAAATGAGAAGAAACAGCTGCAAACATCTGTTAATAATTGGAACATGGAATGTACGAAGTATGAATCTAGGCAAATTGGAGATCATCAAAAGTGAAATGCAACACATAAACATTTATATTCCAGGCATTAGTGAGCTGAAATGGACTGGTATTGGCCATTTTGAGTCAGACAGTCATATGGTCTGTTATGTCGGGAATGACAAATTGAAGAGGAATAGCGTTGCATTTATTGTCAGAGCATTTCAAGATTTAGCCTGAAGTACAGTTTTGTCAGTGATAGAATAATATCCATATGCCTACAAGGAAGACCAGTTAATACGACTGTTATTCAAATTTACGCACCAACCACTAAGGCCAAAGATGAAGAAACTGAAGATTTTTACCAACTTCTGCAGTCTGAAATTGACTGAAAATGCAATCAGGATGCACTGATAATTACTGGTGATTGGAATGCGAAAGTTGGAAACAGAAGGATCGGTAATTGGAAAGTATGGCCTTAGTGATAGAAACGATGCTGGAGATCACATGATAGAACCTTTCAAGACCAACAACTTATTCATTGCAAATACCTTTTTTCACCAGCATAAACGGCAACTGTACACATGGACCTTGCCATGTGGAATACATAATCAAATCGACTACATCTGTGGAAAGAGCCAATGAAAAGCTCAGTATCAGTCAGAACAAGGCCAGGGGCCGACTGTGGAACAGATCATCAATTGCTCATAGCAAGTTCAAGTTGAAACTCAAGTAAATTAGAGCAATTCCACGAGAGCCAATGTACGACCTTGAATATATCCCACCTGAATTTAGAGATTATCTCAAGAATAGATTTGACACATTGAACACTAATGACCAAAGACCAGACAAGTTGTGGAATGACATCAAGGACATCATACATGTAGAAAACAAGAGGTCATTAAAACGGAAAGAAAGAAAAGACCAAAATGAATGTCAGAAGAGACTCTGAAACTTGCTCTTGAATGTTGAATAGCTAAAGCAAAAAGAAGAAATTATGATGTAAAAGAACTGAAGATTTCAAAGATGGCTCGAGAAGACAAAGTATTATAATGACGTGCGAAGACCTGGAGACAGGAAACCGAAAGGGAAGAACACGCTGGGCGTTTCTCAAACTGAAAGAACTGAAGAAAAAAGCCTCGAGTTGCAATATTGAAGGAGTTTATGGAGAAAATAGTAAACAACGCAGGAAGCATCAAAAGAAGATGGAAGATATATACAGTGACACTGTACCAAAAAGAATTGGGCGACGTTCATTTCAGGAGGTAGCATGTGATAAGGAACTGATGGTACTGAAGGAAGAAGTCCAGGTTGCACTTAGGGCATTGGCAAAAAACAAGGCTCCCGGAATTGACGGAATACCAAGGATTTGCTTCAACGAACAGATGCAGCACTGGAAGTGGCTCGCTCGTCTATGCCAAGAAATTTGGAAGACAGCTACCTGGCCAACTGGAAGAGATCTATACTTATGCCTATTCCCAAGAAAGGTGATCCAACTGAGTGTGGAAATTATCGAACAATATCATTAATATTACTTGCAAGTAAAATTTTGCTGAAGATCATTCAGAAGCAGCTGAAGCAGTATATTGATAGGGAAGTGCCAGAAATTCAAGCCAGATTCAGAAGAGGACGTGGAACCAGGGATATTATTGCTGATGTCAGATGGATGCTGGCTGAAAGCAGATAATACCAGAAAGATGTTTACCTGTGTTTTATTGACTATGCAAAGGCATTCGACTGTGTGGATCATAACAAATTTATGGATAACATTGCGAAGAATGGGATTCCAGAACACTTGTACTCTTGAGGAACCTGTACATAGATCAAGCGGCAGTCGTTCGATCAGAACAAGGGGATAATGCGTGATTTAAAGTCAGGAAAGGTGTGTGTCAGGGTTGTATCCTTTCACCATACTTGTTCAATCTGTATACTGAGCAGATAATCTGAGAAACTGGACTGTATGAAGAACGGGGTATCAGGATTGGAGGAAGACTCATTAACAACCTGTGTTATGCAGATGACACATCGTTGCTTGCTGAAAGTGAAGAGGACTTGAAGTACTTACTGATGAAGATCAAAGACCATAGCCTTCAGTATGGATTACACCTCAACATAAAAGAAAAATCGTTACAACTGGACCAATAAGTAACATCATGATAAACGGAGAAAAGAGTGAAGTCAAGGATTTCATTTTACTTGGATCCACAATCAACACCCATGGAAGCAGCAATCAAGAAACTAAATGATGTATTGGGTAAATTTTTTGCAAAAGACCTTTTTAAAGTGTTAAAAAGCAAAAATGTCACCTGGAAGACTAAGGTGCGCTTGACTCAAGTCATGTTTTCAATCTCCTCACGTGCATGTGAAAGCTGGACGATGAACAAGGAAGATCGAAGAATTGACACCTTTGAATTGTGTTGTCTACAAATAGCTGTAGTTTTACTTCTTTACAGTTTGGATATTGGTCTGTAGTGTTTTTTTTTTTTCTCCTTGTGATATCTTTATTTGGGTTTGATATCACGTAATGCAGGCCTCATGAATGTGTTAGGAAGTATTTCCTCGTTTTTTTTTTTGGAAGAATTTGAGAAGCATTAGTGTTAATTCTTTAGTATCTTGTAGAATTTTTGAACGAAATTTTCTGGTCCTGTGCTTTTCTTCATTGGGAGGTTTTTGATTATAGTGTTTCAGTCTTTTTACTTGTTATAGGTTTATTCAGATTGTTTCTTCTTGATGCAGTTTGAATAGTTGATGTCTGTCTAGGAATGCGTCTAGTCCATCTAGATTATCTAGTTTCTTGGCATATAATTGTTCATAGTATTGTCTTATGATTCTTTTTATTTCTGTAAGTTCTGTTGTAATGTTTGCACTTTCGTTAGAAATTTGTATATTTTCTTTTTTTCTTGGTCAGCCTAGTCTAGGTAAAGGTTTATCAGTTTTTTAAAAACTTTTTAAACAACCAACTTTTAGTTTCATTTTATTGTTTTTGTTCTCTGTTTCATTTATCTTCACTGTAATATTATTTCCTCCCTTGTGCTAGCTTTGCGCTTAGCTTGCTCTCGTTCAGTTTCTTAAGGTGTCAAGTTAGGTTGTTGATTTAGGATCTTTCTTACTTTGAATGTAGACATTTACAGTTAGAAATTTCTCTCTGAGCGCTGCTTTTTCTGCATCCCATAAATTTTGGTAAGTTATATATTCATTTTTATTGCAATGAGTTTTATAATTTCACTTGTGATTTCCTTTTTGATCCTTTTTTTTTAAGAGTGTGTTGTTTAAATTTCCATGTATTTGTGAATTTTCCAGTTTTCCTTCTCTTACTGATTTATTTCATTGCATTTTGGTAGAAAAAGATACTTTGTATGACTTCAGCCTTTTTAAATTTGTTGGGCCATTTTTTGTGGCCTAACATATAGTATGGCCTAGAGAACGTTCCTTGTGTGTTTAAGAAAAATGTGTATTTTGCTCTTCTTGGGTGGACTGTTCTATGAATGTATTTTAAGTCTGGTTTGTATATAGTGTTGTTCAAGTCTTCAGTTTCCTTTTTGATTTTCTGTTTAGCTGTATCCATTATTGAAAGTGGGATATTGAGTTCTTCAACTAATATTGTAGAACTGCTTTCTGTCTTCAATAATGTCAATAGTTAATAATTTTAGTGCTCTGTTAGGTGTACGTATATTTATAATTGTTATATATATTTGATGGATTGACATTTGTATCAATACAGTTATTTGTCTCGTAGCAATTTATGACTTGAAATCTATTTTGTCTGATACTAGTCTAGCCACTCAACGCTCTTTTGCATGGGATATCTTTTTCCATCCTTTCACTTTCAATCTATGTTTTTGGAGCCAACATGAGTCTCTTGTAGATAGCATGTAGTTGGATCAGTTTTTTAAAAATTTTATTCTGCCAATCTCTGCCTTTTGATTGGGGAGTCTGTTTCATTTACATTTAAAGTAATTGATGATGAGAGAACTTTTGACATTTTGATGTTTTGCTTTTATATGTTTTATATCATGTTTGTTCCTCAATTTCTCCAATACTGTTCTTTTGTGATGAATTGATTTTCCTTAGGGTACTGTTTTGATTCCCTTCTCTTTGTTTCCTTTTTTATATAGTTTTTCGCTTTTTTTCTTAGTGGTTATCCTGGGTAGTATTAACGTTTTAATTTTATAAGTCAAGTGTAAATTAATACCATCTTAGTTTCAGTAGTATACAAAAATTCTGCTTGTATACAGCTCCATCCCTCCTTTCTGTTGTAACTGTCTCAAATTACGTTTCTACGTTATATGTCAATTTTTGTTTTATGCCTTTGTCTTTTAAGTCATGTAGACAATAAAGAGGAGTTAACAGATAAAAAATGCAACAATACTGAGTTTTATATTTACTTATGTAGTTATCTTTATTGGTGTTCTTTAATTCTAGTGTCCTTTCATTTCATTTTTGCAAGACTCTGTTTAGCATTTCTTGTAGGGTCTGTTAGCATACTTTCTCAGCATTTATCAGAGAATGTTTTAATTTCTCCTTGTAGTTTTGAAGGATGATTTTGTCTAATACAGATTTTTTTAATTGATAGGTCTTTCAGCAGTTTAAATAATGTCATCCCACTGCCTTCTGGCTTTTGTGGTTTCTAATGAGAAATCCACCATCACTACTGTTGAGTATCCCTTGTACGTGTTGAGTCTCTTGTACATGATGAGTCACTTCTCTCTTTTTGCTTTTGGGATTGTCTTTTTGTCTTTGGTTTTGACTATTTGACTATAATATGTCTTAGTGTGAATCTCTGAGTTTATCCTGCTTGAAGTTCGTTGCAGTCTTGGATATGTAGATTTGTTTCATGAAATTCGGAAGGTTTTTGGCTATTATTTCTTCAAATACTCTTTGTACCCCTTTTTCTCTACTGGAATTCTGATTATGCGTATGTTGGTACACTTGATGGTATCTCATAATTCTCTTAGGATCTGTTTATTTTTATTTTTTTACCTTTTTGGTACTGAGACTAGATAAACTCAGTTCCTCTATTTGCCCAAGTTCACTGATTGCTTCTATTGGCTGCTCAAATCTGCTTTTGAACCCTTTAGTGAATTTTTCATTTCATTTATTCTTTCCAGCTCCAGATTGCTGTTCCTTTTTGTAATTTTTGTTTATTAATAGTCTATTTGATGAGACATTTTCCTGTTTTTTTTTTCGTTCTTTGTCCTTACTTTCCTTTAGCTCTTTCATCATATTTAAGAAATCTGATTACAAGTCTTTGTCTAGTAAGTCCTGTACCTTGGCTTAACTCGGACAGTTTTTATTATTTATTTTTGTATGTTTATTTACATGACTCATAATTTTTTGTTGAAAATTAGACATTTTGAATATAATATGGCAGGTCTCGAAATCCCTTCCGCCCAGGATTTGCTGTTGCTGGTTGAGTGGGTGGCTGTTGTTTAGTGGATTTTCTAAGTTGTTTTGGTAAAGTCTGTGTTCTTTGTGTGTGGCCTCTGAAATATGTGTTCCATTAGTTTTCATAAATGGTTCCAAGAAAATAAAAATACACTGCCTTTTCTGATTGGCTCGTGTTGGAGCTCTTAGGCAGGCCATTTATAACTCTCTCTTTAGTGTTTACTTCCTGCTTGCGTGGACCTTCAATGTCTACCAGAAATCAAAGCTTTAGGTCTTCAGGTCTTTTCTGATCATGTATCTGTCTCTGCGTATGCATGTGGTCTTCTTGATTTTCTGGTATATGCTGGAGCTTTTAAAAGCACGCTTTTCTCAGATAGTATTTTCAACCTCTTCCCAGGTTTTTCAGTCTATTGTCCTGTTTTGCCTTTTCTTGACTGCTGTTGCCAGTGCTTTCCTTTTAAATGCTTTGAGTGAAAGCCATGTGGAAGCTGCCTCAGTCCTGGAGTTCTCTGAGTTGGGCGAAACAGGCAAACCCTTGCACTGGTCCTTGAGGAAGCTGCCAGCAGGTTGAACCACACAACCCAATTGTTTAAGAATGAGGTCCATATTTTTCCTCCTGGTACTAGCAACCTGCACCAGGACTACAGTGTATTGTCTTCACAGCCACTTTTGATATAGGGAGTTCTGGAATAGATGGACAATATAAAATGCAGCAGCACTCTCTTACCACAGTATAGGCACTTAAATGTTCCCCTGGTGGTTGTAACTGTTTTACTAGAGTCCAGAGTTATGCAAAAGTTGATTCTGACAGTTTTTGCCTTTTCATGGAAGGAGAGCTTTCAGGAGTTTCCTACTCCCATTTTTGATTACATACCCTATGCCATATGCTTTTAAACATCTTCATCCCCACATTTTTTCTCTAAACCTGAATTTTTCCACTGTGTTTCAGAATTATATTTGCAATTCAAAAGGAGAAAAGCATCCACACCTCGAGATATTTTTGGGAAAAGAACATCAAATGGAATAGAATTGGTAAGATTTACGAGGGATCATTCCTTCTACATTAGGAGCAGAGCACAAAATCCATGACAATTATATGAGGCAGATGGCATTTATCTAGAAGAAAGCAGAGTCTTTAGAAAGATATTCTGAGTATCATTTACTTGGGAAGTACGCTAAACTTAGTTGGAACCTAATCTCAGAAATTCCACAAATATACATTTGCATATATATAACTTCAGTATTCAGTTTTTGATACATAATTTAGTCAAAACAATTATCAAACACTCTAAGGAGCTTTGTGGAAATAAAAATGTAATGCACACTCCTGCCCTTATAGTCAGCTTATTCAATGTAAAATAACCAAAAAAACAGGGAAGGAACTCTGTACATATGATGAAATGGTAAAAAACTTCAGTCACGATAATGTTTCATATATATAACAATTGTGATGGGGGAGGAATTCTGTTATTATAGCGGATTTGAGAAAGTTTTTAGTCATTTTTCATCTCTTAACAGGAGAGAAGCAATGTTGGAAAGGAACTATATGATTGTAACCAATGTGGAAAAATCTTTAGTGAACACTCATGTCTTATGACTCACATGAAAACCCACATTGGAGAGAAAACATCTATGGATAATCAGAATGGAAAAGACTTCAAAAAGAACTTAATTCATATTCTGCACAAGAAAATCCATGTTGGGGAGAAACTTTTTTTTCAGCATGAAAAAGCCTTCACTCCACTTTCAAATCTTACTGGGCCCAAGAAAAATCATACACAAGAGAAATTGTATGAAGGCAAAGACTGGGGGAGAAACTTTACTAATGAGTCATATCTTAAAGTACATGTGAGATCTCACATCGGAGAAAAACCCTATGTATGTAAGGAATGTGGGAAAGCTTTCACTAATTCATCTTACTTTACAGAACATAAAAGAATTCACAGTGGAAAGAAGCCCTACATATGTATGGAATGTGGGAAAGCCTTTACTCGATCCACAGGACTGACTTTACATATACAGATACACAACGGAGAAAAACCATTTGAATGTAAGGAATGTGGGAAAGCTTTCATTCATTCCTCATACCTTACAAAACACACAAGAATTCACAGTGGAGAGAAGCCTTATGTGTGTAGGAAATGTGGGAAAGCCTTTACTCTTTCCTCAGGACTTAAGTTGCACATCAGAACTCACACTGGAGAAAAACCATATGAATGTAAGGAATGTGGGAAAGCCTTCACTAGTTCCTCACACCTTACAGAACATACAAGAATTCATAGTGGAAAAAAGCCCTACATATGTATGGAATGTGGGAAAGCCTTTACTCGATCCACAGGACTTATTTCACACATACAGATTCACAATGGAGAAAAACCATTTGAATGTAAGGAATGTGGGAAAGCTTTCCTTCATTCCTCATACCTTGCAAAACACATAAGAATTCACAGTGGAGAGAAGCCCTATTTATGTAAGGAATGTGGAAAAGCCTTCTATCGTTCTTCAGGACTTCTTTTACACATGCGAAAACACACTGGAGAAAAACCCTGTGAAGGTGAATGTGGGAAAGCCTTTAATAATTCCTCAATGCTTAATCAGCATGTAAAAACTCATACTAGAGAGAAGCCATATGAATGCAGGGAATGTGGGCAAGCTTTTACTCAATCATCGGGCCTTACTACACACTTAAGAATTCACACTGGAGTGAAAACCTATGAATGTGAAGAATGTGGGAAAGCATTTATTCATTCCACACATCTTAACGTGCACATGCGAACTCACACTGGGTAAAAGCATTATAAATGTAAGGAATGTGGGAAAGCCTTTAGATATTCCACATGCCTTAATATTCACATGCAAACCCACATTGGAGAGAAACTATAAATGTCAGGAATGTGGGAAACCCTTCAGTCTTTAATGAACATCTAAGAAATAAGCCATGTGGAAAATTCTCTGTTCTACAGACTTTAGCCTACACTGCTAAACTCATCTGAAAAAAAGATGTCATGAAAGTAAAGGATGGGAGAAATCTTAACTGAATTTTCGCTTCTACGAAAATATCTTACCATAAGCAGAAATGTCATTAGTAAAAAGAATATGGGAGAGCAGTGAAGAATGTGTTGAGAACTCACACCTGAGAAAACTGGTTTTAAGACGTGGGAAAGTCTTTATTTAAATATTGCTATCTTATACGTTTAAAATAACAGTAAAAGCCATACGAAGGTAAGAATGAGGTATAACTATTTTATATGCATTAATAGTACATGAGAATGGATGCTAGAGAAATACTTCTGTATAGAGAATGTGGTAAATTCTTTAATGCTCAGGATTAATATGTACATGAGGATACATACTGGTATAAAATCTTACCAGTGTGAAGGATAAAGGAAAACTTCCACTTGCTCCTTTTTTAGGTACTCAACATTTAAGAAATCAGTATGGAAAGATACCATATAAATGGAAGCAATCTAGGAAAACTCAGAAATTCCTTTCAATTTTATGTACTTCAGAAGAACATAAACGTAAACAATGTGAAAAATCCAAGTGTTAGTGGATGAGAACTTGTAGTTGAAACTATGAAAGATGTGGAAAAACTTTAGTTCTGCCCAATGTTGATGTTTTTTGATCTCATGAAAAGAATGTTAGCAATATGGAAATTCACTTTTTTGTTTTAGTAAACAGTTTACATTGGAAAGAAATTATGATTGTAGGGAATGTGGAAAATGCTTCGTTCATTCTACAGATCTTACTGTACATGTGAAAGCCAATACTGGAAAGAAGCTGTATGAATGTAATAATGTGGGAATGCTTTTAATTCACAGCCTTAAAGGGATGACAGGGATGGATCAATAGGCAAGGTAAGCACAGGTCTTACTTTGCTTACCAGATCATCTGTAGTGAACAATTTCACATTTTTTCACCATATCAAAAATTTGCTTCTAGGTCTCGCTGGCATGTGTCTCCTAACCCCATGGCACCTTCCTACAGAATCAAAGCTTCTTTCTACATTTACAGTGCCTGACAGAGACAGATTACCCAGTAAGCATGAGCTGACTTATTCACTAATCTGCAGTGAACAGTTTGTGGTTTTCACCATATGTGAAATTGTTCACTACAGATTAGTAAGCAAGCACAAGTCAGCCTGTGCTTACCTTGCTTGTTGGATAATTTGCCCCAGATGTGGAAAATACTCATTAGAAGGATAAACCATGAATGTTTAGGAGTTTGGGGAAGCTTTCAGGTACTGTTCATTTACTGTACACAAGAGTACTTGTACCTGAAGAGAAATGCAAAATAAATGACATGAAAATGAGAATGTGTCCTTTAAGGAAAATACCTAGCATCTTAATTTCCTGTGGTGATTTTATAAAGTTTAATTGCTTTTAAAAGATTCTCCAAGTAAAATTTTTGCTAAATTACATAACATTTCATAGAATGGTGTTTTCATTATGACTCAGGTCTAAACACTTTCTCATTTACATTATGATGTCTTGGGTGAACTGTGGTTATTTGGGAGTGTGTTTATTTGGCAACATAAGGGTGTTTTGTAAATGTTTTTTAGTATTGCTTTGTAATTTCTTTGCTAATGGGTCATAGAACGGTATGGTATAGTACTTTATAGAAAAAATTTCTTCGGCCTTGTGTGGCAAGTAGTAGAATGCAAGTTCATAGTTTTAAAAAACTCCATTTCTCAGTTTTGCTTGAGCTTATGGGAGGTTATATCTGATAGTTCTGACCAACAAGAAGTAGAAATCAATGATGTGAGTTCTCGGAAAGCTATTGGAAAGGGGACAGTCTCATCAGGTTTTTTTCTTCTCTGTCAGTTATAGCTGACACTTCCTTTCTCTTTCCTGGAAATCAGATGTAGTTCCTGGAGTTGGGATGATAAATGCTGTGCTCTGAGGACAAAAGCCACAGTTATAATTTAGTTAAAGAAACACATGGTGACTTTGCATCAGCCATGCAGCTGTTTCTGGACTTTTTTGTTACTTGAGAAAAATGGTCTTTATTGGGCTGAGGATATACATTTGTGAGTCATCAGTGTATAAATGGCACTTAAAGCTATGAGGTCAGATGATTTTCCCTGACAGTAAGTCCTGGAACACTTCTAACTTTGGTGGTTGGGGACATGGGAGGAGCTTGAGAAGTAATGAGTGGCTAATAAGATGAGAATTATGATTGGTATCTATGAATGTAAGGATAGGAGCAGACACTGATCAAGTGTACCAAATGCTCATTTGGTGAGTTAAATGAGGATTTGTGGTTTAGTCATCAAAGTCATTGGGGCGTTTTTTTTAAAGCTGATTCTGTGAAGCTGGGTGGGCAAAGTTCTCGTTATAGATTTTGGAGGAAAGAGAATACGATTTGGAGGTAATAAAGATAGCCACTGTCATTTGACCTTATAGTCTATTATATTTAGCTTTACATTGTGTGTTTTGTATTGCTGTTGTAACAAATTACAAGTTAATGGTGTAAAACAATAAAAATTTACTATCTTAAGTTTTCAAGGTCATAAATGTGAAATGGATTTCATTGGGCTAAAATCAAGGTGTCAGGACTGCATTCCTTTCTAGAGGCTATAGGGAAGAATCCATTTCCTTTTTCCAGCTTTTAGAGGTAGCCAACTTCCTTGGCTCATGGCCCCCTTCCGCCGTGCAACATCCAAATCCTTCTCATGCCACCATCTCTTTCTCTACTTAGCTCTTTAAGGACTCTTATGATTACATTGGGCCCACCTGCATAATCCAGGTTAATCTATTTTAAGGTCAGCTTATTGTGTATGTTGAGTCGATTTCGACTCATACTGACCCCATAATACAGAATAGCATTGCCCCATAGGGTTTCTTAGGCTGTAATCTTTACGGGAGCAGATTGCCGTGTCTTTTTTTCCTGTGGAGTAGCTGGTGGGTTTGAACTGTGGACCATTCGGTTAGCAGCCTAGCCATTATGCCAAAAGGGCTCCTTGGTTAGCTGATTAGCAATCAATCCCATTTACAACCTGAATTCCCGTTTTTCATGTAATCTCACATATTCGTGGGTTCCAGGTATTAGTTTCCAGATATATTTGGGGAACTATTATTTTGCGTGTCATACATCATTCATATTGCTTATGTGCTTTTAAAATACTGTTATCTTCAACTTTTCTGTTGTAGTTGTTTTGAGTATGAACAACATTTTAACAAGATTTTAAAGTCTAAACTGAAATCAGTTTACAAGTTAAATTATACGTGTTAGGATATTAATGCAGCGTTTTTATTTTTTCACCTTTTCTGCGAATTTTGTTTCTTAAAAAATTCTGTAATTATAGCATATATACAGGATAGGGTTGCTATGAGTCAGAATCAACAACGCAATGGCTTTTTTTTGTATACAGGAAATTGTATGAAAATACATGAAAAAACCTATTGCTGTCAAATCTTTTTTGACTCATGGTGACCTCATGTTACGGAGTAGAACTGCTCCATAGGGTTTTTCTTTGCTGTAATCTTTTTGGAAACAGATCACAAGGCCTTCTGCGGTGACGTTGTTTGGGGTTTGAACTGCCAGCCTTTAATTGAGCGCAAATCATCTGCGCCACCCAGGGACCTTTATGAAAATTCATAAGTAGTGTTTTAAAGTAGTGAGCCTCTAGATAACTACCTTGCAGACCAAGAAACAGAAGATTACTGTATCCATGAGTCTCTCTTCTATTGCATCCCTTTTTTCTATCCAAAAGGAACCTTTTTTGAAATCTGTTAGCTGGTTTTTTACTTTTTTTCATAGATTTTATTGCTAATATATGTATCCCATAATGAGGTATTATTCTTTATGTGATTTTAAAAACTATGAAAGTTGTTATTAATGACTGCTTCTGTAATTTGTTTTATTTTTTCTGTACATGTTCAACCTTATTATGTCATGACTTTTTTTCCAAAGTGGGTTGTGAGATATCTCGCTGTGGTTTTAATTTGCCTTTCCCAGATTATTGATGTTTGTGAACATCTTTGCAGGTACTTCGGCTTTTTTTTTTTGAAAGAAATATCTGGTCATGTCTTTTTATTTTTTAGGCTTTTGTTTGATAACATGATACACATCATTTATGAATTACATGACTGCAGTATTTTCCACTTTGTGTTTTCACTTTGTTTATGGTATTTTAAGGAAAAGAATTTAATTTTGGCATAGATGATTTTTCCAAATTTTCCCTTATTCCACTTCAGAAGTTTTCTACTCTGAATTCATATTTTTTGCTACCTTTTCTTTTACATTTTTCATAGTTTTACAAATGTGCTTAGTCCGTCTGGAATTGATTTTTGTTTGTGATATCAAGATATGTTTAATTCAATTTTTCTCCTTATGAATATGTTTTTCCCAGGACTTTGCATTGAAAAGTTCATCTTTCCCCACTTGAATTGCAATGTTCTGTCATTGATGAGCTTTCAATATGCATTTGAGTCAGTTTTAAGGCTTTATGATTTGTTTGGGGCCCTAGTGGTGCAGTAGTTAAGCATTTGGCTGCTAACCAAAAGATCGGCAGTTCAAATCCACCAACCACTCCTTGGAAACCCTATGGCGCAGTTCTGTCCTATTGGGTTTCTATGAGTCAGAATTGACTCGACAGCAACGGGTTTCTTCCGCTTTGGTACCACTTATATTATAATAACTTTATAGTATTTTTAAATATCTGATAGGGCTATTCCCCATTCTGTCGTTCTGCTTTAGCAGCGTCTTGTCTATTCTTGGCTCTTTGTTTTAATTTTGAAAAGACTTCAGGCTTACAGAAAAAGTTCATAGAATAGTACAGAGAACTCCAGTACATATATCCCTTGCCCAGATTTACCAATTTTTCACAAATTGCCTACTTTTCGTTTTTCATTTTCACTCAT